GCATTTAAATAGATATAATTTTATTGCCAGAGTTAAATCATAATTAAAAATGACATCTTATAAGGGAGTGAAAGTGCAAGAACAAAAAGTTAACTGTGGGGAGAGTAGAGCTAACCCACACATAATATGGAACACAAGATTATGCCTACACTGAACACAACTTGGAAACAGCACCCTGGATGGTGGAAGCATGCAGTACCAAGAACATAAAATGTATTACAATGCTTTTAATTATACATATCGTTACACCTAGAGTTAAATATAAAAAAATGGCATTGTACAAAATGAAAAATCCTCACCAACAAATAATGAAATCGTATAATCAATGGTTGAAAATCACAAAGTAGATATTAATAAATGTATTAAAACACATACAAAATCAAATTTGCATCTTGTAGCCCTTCTAATTACAAACTTAGTGAATCCATACATCAAACTCTCAGAATCCAAAAGTGAATGAAATAAAGAAAACTGGAATGTGGAGAGAGTTGGCCTATAACACATAATGAACAAAATTTGTGCCTAAAAGTGAACACAAACTTGTGTCCATCATCCTATTCGGTGGATGTATGCAGTGCAAACATCACAGAATGCATTACGATGCATAATAGTACACATACCATTGCAAACAGAGTGAAATATGAAAAATGCACCATAAGTAAAAAATTACACCTGCAAATAAAGAAACTACATGATCAAGGGTTGAAAATTAGAGAACAGATATACGGAATGTGTGAATGCAAACTTGAAATTAAAATTTTCATCATTCAATTTATAAATACAATTAATTAAAAAATCGAATTCTGAGAATCGGCCAAAAGAGTGAACACAAAGGGATTAAAAACTTAGATCTGGAGATGGAAACAAAGAAAACATGCACCTGATGCTAATTATGACTATTAAAATTGATGAACCTTCTCATCAGACATGAACACCAAGAACAAAAAAACAAGAAGAATTCGACCTCTAAATTTAAGGCGAAAAATGGTTTCTGGCAGAGATGCTTAGAAAATTCAAGATGAAAAACTAAGGTATCCCTACCTTGAAATATAAATCTTGACTGCGGTGAAGAGAGATCAACTCATATGAGAAAACTCCAGATCTGTTGTGAGATAGGGAAGGAAGATCTCACGCTCATCTTGCAGGCACTATGGAGAGAGACGAGAGAGAGAGAGAGAAACGAATTCAGTTGAATATACAATAATGCCCTTAATTATGCGGATGGGAGATAAATCAAGACTGGTTGATCAAACGGTAGATATTTATTCTTATTTCTTTCATTAGATCTTATTCTTATTTGAACCAAAATCTATATATATATATATATATATATATATATATATATATATATATATATATATATATATATATATATATACTCCGTATAATTTTGGCGTTGTATCTTGATTATATTTTCACTCAAACACTTCTGAATTGCACGAACTATGTTTTATTATTATAATTATTATTTTAAAACGAAACACGTTTTGAGTATAAATTATGTCTCATTTATATTTTTTTCTTTTAAGTTAAAGAAGTTAATATAATTTTTTTGTTTCGTTATACAAAAAGTAAAAGTACAAAATTTATACAAAAAAAGGTTTTCTCTTTTTTGAAAATGTGTCATATGAAGCAACATTATATAAAAAAAAGTAAAGGAAACAAAAAATAAGTTTTCTTCTTCTAAACGAAGTATAAAACAAAAAAAAAAATTGAAATTTTAATTTAACTCCCACCCTATCCACTACCCTGGCCGACCCCCACCCCCGAATACATCCAATCTCCAAATATCAAAGGGGAGTGAATCTAATCTTTTCCGGAGGTTCAGCATGACTTCTTTTTTTTTTAAATAAAAAGATTAAGCTAGACAAATTTGGGTGACAATCCATGCATTGTCAACATTTTGATACTAAGTTGTCAAGAATTAGGAGTGACTACTAGGGAGGGCTATGATGGGATGAGAATTGTTTTTTTGATTAAACTAAGAAAATTGTTAGATTGCATCTCGCATCGAAAGTTCAAGAGTAAAATAATCGATATATAAGCTCCTGAGTTGAACTAACTAATAGATTGGGTTCAATCTTTTAATGTGGTTTATCCCAAGTGTCTTATTATCTAAACCAAATATCCTTACCCCATCCTAAATTTCTGTCATGGTATCGGAGCAGGTTTTGGTCCACCTCATTTGTCAAAGTGTCCGTCTAGACGTTCATTCATAGCGGCCCGTTAGTCTTTAGCATATTTGTCCGTATGGAGTATGTACCCAACGGCATATGCCCTGTTTCTCACAATAGCTCGTCTAGAAGTCCATATCCAGCGGTTGTCCACTTTGAGGGGGAGTGTTAGAGTGCATCCCACATTGAAAGTTCAAGAGTAAAATAATCGATATACTCCTATAAGCTTTTGAGTTGAACTAACTAATAGATTAGATTCAATTTTTTAATGTGATTCAACTCAAGTATTTTATTATTCAATCTAAATATCCTTACCTCAACCAGCCATCCTAAATTTCATCAAAAATAAATAATTTTTTTAAAGGGAAGAAGTATTAGAAACATGAATCCAGAAACATAAGTCCAGATTCGCATGAACAGCCGAATGCTTTACCAAAACTTCGGATCTTAAATCTTAATTACCTTCCATTTTTTTTAGTCTTCCTACCCTTGACGGAGCCCAAAAAAAAAGGATTAACGTACTGGATAAAGGAGAGTCTAAACAAAAAAACTAGTCTCGAGTGACGCATATTTTATCGAAATAACTTCCAGGTCCCTGTATTTTTGAAAAGTTAAGAGAAGTCCCTAAATTTTGTTGTTGTTAGAATGTCATCCCACATCGAAAATTCAAGAGCAAAATAATCGGTATATAAACTCTGGAGTTGAACTAACTAATCGATTGGATTCAATCTTTTAATGTGGTTCAGCTCAAGTGTGTTATAGCCCAATCCACTAATCTCTACCCAATCCTGAATTCTATCATGGTATCAGAGTAGGTTTTGGCCCACCTCGTTTGTCAAGGTGTCCGTCTAGACGTTCATTCCTAGCGGCCCGTTAGTCTTTAGCCAGTTGTCAGTATGGAGTATGTACCCAACGGCCTGGCCCGTTTAACACGATTGCTCGTCTGGAAGTTCATACCCAACGACTCGTGGTCCTTTAGGTGTTGGCGCTCAAAAAAATTCAAGGGAATTGGAGTTTATTTGCAAGTGGTCAACCGGTTAGATTCAAAATGGCCCGGTTGTCCACTTGAGGGGGAGTGATAGAGTGTCATCCCACATCGGAAATTCAAGAGCAAAATAATCGGTATATAAACTGTTCCCACATCGGAAATTCAAGAGCAAAATAATCGGTATATAAACTGTTCAGTTGAACTAACTAATCGATTAGATTCAATCTTTTAATGTGGTTCAACTCAAGTGTCTTATAGCTCAATCCACTAATCTCTACCCAATCCTAAATTCTATCAGTTGTAATGACTGAGAGGAGATATTTCATCACTGACGTTAATTAATACTTCCTCCGTTCTAAAAAACACTCTCTCTTTCATTTTTTCCACTTCGAACAAAACACTTCTACTTTCTATTAAAAAACCACTTTTACCCTTACTTTTTCATACCCTACATATCACATCATACTTTTTCTCTAATAATCAACTCATCACATCTTACTTTTACCCATCATATCAGGGGCAAAATTTAAAGTCAACTATAATTTTACACTTCTTTATTTTGGCTCCAAGTCAAAGTAGGAAGCTTTTTTGCAAACAGAGGGAGTACGTTTTTCCGATTTTCGAAAAGTGACTTTAGTTAAGTGTTTACTTGTTTTTTATTCACCTTGTTATTTAGGGGTGTTCATTCGGTAAAACTGAACTGAACCGAACCGAAAATTTGGTAAACCGAAATTTCGGTAACTTATTTTTTGTACCAAATACCGAACCAAAATCAAATGGTTCGGTTCAGTAAAAACCAAATTAAATCGGTTTGGTAATCGGTTTTACCAAAAACCGAACATAAACCAAAACTTGAACTTTAAAAAATCCATTTCATTCTCCAAATTGAAAATAACAAAGCATAATCCATTATATATAAGTTCATTACACATTCCAAAATTAAAATAGCGCAGCACAATTAGAACCATTACATAAATTAAACAAAATAATTGATACAAATAACACAATTGTCCATTCCGAAATATAAAAACATTTACCAGTATTATTAATTTGATGCTTTCATGATTTCCAATCTTAAATAACTCCAAATTTAGATAATAGGACTTAAATAACTCCAAATTTAGATAATAGGACTTAAAAATGGGTAAAATTATACATAAGTATTAAATAATTTCGGTATTCGGTTTTTACTGAAATACTGGTTCCAAATTTTGTGCCGAACCGAAAACCGATTTTTTCAAAATATGAGAACCGAATACCGAACCGAATTATTTGGTTCGGTTTCGATACGTATCAAAGTTTTCAGTTTCGGTTCGGTTCGGTCGGTTTACCAAATTGTGCACACCCCTATTGTTATTGGCTTCACTCGGGTTTTTGATAATGCACTTCATCAAGCATAATAGTGCATCCTTATTCTCAATAATTATTAAACCAACTCTTTAACCCCAATAGAGCATAACGTTTAGCAAGAAAATGAATACTTTTAAAAACAAATCATACTCCAATAAGAATTTAAGATGTCAAGCACATAAATAAAAAAAACTTCCCCAAAACATAAAAAGAACTCAATAAAAATATGTTTATCCTAACCGAAAACACCCACTAAAGCAAATTAAACCCATTACTAAAATCTAGGACTTATATGCATCATTAAATTGACTAAATTACAACATCAGTGTGTTTTAATAACCACCAAGTTAACAGAACAACTTCATCATGTTTGTATGCAGTATAATCATGTAAAATTGCATCGTTTTCTTATGTAAATACACTTGCATCATCTTCAACTTCATCTTCATAAAAATGTGTCTCGCTTCATCATTAGTTGTCGAATGCACCTAGCTAAATTTGTACATGTTCATGTTGCATATTTTAAGAAGAAACTAAAAAAATGGCCAAGACATTGTAGTCTTCAACTATGACCAATTTGCCTCACGGTCATTCTTCACTTTTCATTCTAAATTCTTATATCCTCCTAACTCCTCCTCTTTTGTATCTAACCTTAATAATTAAGACCTGCACCCAAGTTAAAAAAATCATCATTGAGCATTTTATTATGAGATTACACATGCTCTGAACATTGTGAGGAACTTAAGATGCTTTTATAACATCATCTTATACGAGATTGGAATTGCATGCATTATCTGCCAAAACATAGTGCATTATAATTCACCTGGTAAAGCATAAATAAAGTGGAAGAACTAAATTTCTTAATAAATGTGTAGGAACTAGAAAAAATCTAACCTAGAAAAAATGCTACATTCTAGTTCTTGGCTACAGTCACTATCATCATCATATAATCTATTATCACCAAACACAAAATAGATTAAATTAGACATTTATAACTGCTAATGAAAGTGTTATACAAATATTGAGCATAAAAGTTACTAAAATTCACATAGTGGATCTTGACCTATGATGACACATTTTGATCATAACCCATTGTAACTTAAAACAAGAGAACCATCATATTACTTCACATGTTATTTAGGTAATTGTCTCACCCTCATCATGAATGTTATACACTTCATGGGATTGTGAGTGCTTAAAAAAGTGTACGTTTTGAAAAAAAAACTTCTTAATGAATTTAAAACAAATTTATGAAATCCTATCCTAGAACACTTAGGGGGCGTTTGGTTCATGCTGAGGAAAGGGAAAGGAAACAGGAAAGGGAATCAGGGGGAATGGGAATGATTACCCCTGAATTACTCTGTCTGTTTGGTTCAGTATAGGAAAGGGAATAGAATTCCCTTATTCGTGTTTGGTTCAAAACAGGGGAATCAAATTTTTTTACACAACTATGATTAATTTGTTAAAAATAATACGGAGTACTTATTAATTTTATCAAACATACAATTAAACAAAATTCACACCTCACAAAAAATTGTAAAAAAAATTTGTAACAAATCTATAAAAAAAAGTTGTAAAAAATCTGTAAAAAAATTTGAATTCTAAAAAAATGTAAAAAAATTTGTAAAAAATCTGTAAAAATCTTTGAAAAAATTGTAAACAAATTGTAAAAAGAATTGTAAACAATTGTAAACAGAGGACCGGTCGCCGTCACCGAAAGATTCACCCAGGGTAGCAAAATTTACCCTTCTCACATCCCCTTCTACACCGATTTTGCATCAATGGTGGGTTGTTTGAGGCACAAGTGTTAGAAATATCAAACAAAAAGGGAATAGTGTAATATCTTGATAATGTCCTTGATTGGAATCAAATTACCAATCAGGATATTTGATTAACTTCCACTCACTTTCCTTGATTGTCTTCATTATTAACTTTGTAATATATATAGACATCATTAGAGATGTATTCAAGTAGATGAACATTTTCATCTGTGAATTGATTCTATATTTCTAATATGGTATCAAAGCCATCATTCGATCAAAACAATTGAATGATACGCAGCGTTCATCATCTACCATAAAAAAAAAATGTCTGATCCAACTCCAGAGAGTTCCACCTACACAGGGGAATCTGATCCAATGAAGCAGCCAGTCAACCTTGCACAAATTCTGGAAATTCTCCAAAATTTTCAGAATTTAGCACCCAAGGCCGAACCTATCGAGAGCTCTTCCAATCAGCCGTTAAATTTGGCGGAAAAACTCAACGATAGGAACTACGCCATTTGGGCGCGTAAGATGAGCCTGGCTCTGGACGGGAGAGGACGGCTCAAGCACATCATCGCCGCACCTCTCAAATCTGATGATGCCAAATATATTAAATGGAGACAAGCAGATTCAACGGTAATAACGTGGATACTTGAAAACATAGAATCGGATATTGTTAATCAATATATCGATTACC